TTTTTATATAAATTAATTAAAAAATTAAGTTACTTAAGGTTTAGAAATGTGATAATAACATTTTGACACCCACCAGGTTCGAACATGCGTTCCCATAGTGATTGGTGAAGTGACGAACCAATCCAGCCACTACACTTGCCTTGTTAAATCATCACACCATCTTATAGTTATTCATATGCGGTTAAACCGGTGTTTTGAACAGTTAAACCGATTAAACTGGTCAAATCAAAAACCGAAGGTCAAAACGGTTTAACCTCCGGGTCGGTTTTCAAAACATTGCTTTTGACATTCTAAACTGCTTTGATGGGCTCCCATTTACCAGTATAGAGATAGACGCCGATTTCAAGCACTCTTGTATCCAACTTCTCCATTTTTCACCAAAACCCAGTTTTCTCATCATAAAATCTAGGAAACCCCAATTTACATTATCATAAGCCTTCTTAAAATCAGCTTTGAAGACAAAACACTTCTTCTTGCTCTTCTTTGCATCATCCAATACTTCATTTGCAATCACCACCCCATCAAGTAGTTGCCTTCATGCTATGAAAGCCATTTGTGTCTCCCCAATAACTCCATCCAAGACCTGCCTAAGTCTGTTTGCAAGGAGTTTTGATAGGATTTTGTACATAATCCCAATAAGTGAAATAGGCCTATACTCCTCAATCCTCTCCGGGTTATTTGTTTTGGGTATTAACACCACAAAAGATTCATTTGAGCCTTTCACCAACTTTCCCTTGTCATGAAACTCCTGTATGAACTATGTGATATCCTTTTTGATAACCTCCCAATTCCTTTTGATGAAATTAAAATTAAATCCGTCCGGACTTGGTGCCTTTGTGCTGTCACAATCCCAGATTGCTAATTTTATTTCCTTCTCAGTGAAAGGAGCAATTAGGAATTGATTCTGAGTCTCCGAAATCATTTTAAACTTCGCCCCCTCAATTTTTGGTCTGCATTGCTATTCCTCCTTAAAAGCCTGTTCAAAGTGTGTTGCAATTTCCCTCTTAATTTCATCCACCTCAGTACACTGTCGTCCCTTTGCCAAGATACTGCATATTTCATTCCTTCTCCATCTCATAACTTAATTACCTATATTCATCATTGTTATATTTTAAAATTGTTATTAGTGCTATAAATGGTACTTTTGTCTTTAGGTTATAGTGCCATGATAAAGAGATATAGTTGTGGTACCTTTAATTTAAATTTTCATAAAATATCTATATTTCATCAAAAAAATCGCATAAACATGGTTATTTGAGATGTTTCCCTTTGGTTTGGACGGTTTGAAATGACTTTTTGGAAGGCACTTGGAAAGGCATCCGGTGCTAGTTTCCTTCAATTAGAAAAAAGATAGAAGGAATAAATTTTTTTATTATATATATTGAGAGGTTAGTTGCTTGATATGATAAGTTTGAATCTTCGACTTTAACTCCGAATGAAGGCTAAGCTTTCATTGGTAGAATAAAATTTTCTCATCGTAATTATAACTCCAAGGTTGCAGAGTGGCAGCAAAAACTGTCCTTTATAAGTATCAGCATTCTTGTTGCTTGACACATTCTTAGAAGAAACAGAACGCTAAAGCTTCCTCCTTTGCCAAAGTGTGACCCATAACCCTCTCAGCTCTGTATTTTCTGTTTGTTTCCTCTGAAACCGTAGGCAACTCAAGCAAAAATAGAGAACATAAGTATATGAAAATCATTCATTCTCAGTATTTTCTTTGTTGTTTTGCCCATTATTTCGGTACCAAATCTCATTTCTTGGAGGGGTGAGGAGGGTGGGATGATGTTTTTGTGGATTTTATATGAGATATGAGATCTTGCTTGTTGTGTTTATATGAATTATGAAGCCATTTTTTTGTCTTACATGTATTTCATATAGAGGATTTTGAAGATAGGAGCATTTAGAATTTATGATTTAGGGAAGCAGCTGCATATGTTCAAACCTTTTCTTTCTACTTTTGGTTGATTGTCATTACAATGCTAATATACTTGCATAATTGAATTCAGAATGGGTCAAGTACTCGGTTGCGTTCGTGTCCAAGAACCAAATGTGGCTATTATGGAAAAGTACGGTGGCTTTAAGAATGCGCTTAAGCCTGGATGTCACTATGTGCCATGGTGCTGTGGGTGCAACATAGTTGGAAGAGTACCACTTAGCCTGCAACCACTTGATATTCGATGTGAAACTCAGACCAAGGTTTTCAGTTTCTTTACCTTTACCTTTACCTTTACCTTACTTTTACCTCCCTGTATAAGGTGAAAGTTTTTTATGCCTCTGTAAATATCATAAATTTAGTCATAGTAAAAACTAAAATTTTCAATAGCTACTCTTTTCCCACCCAACCCCACCCCCCTTTTTTTTTTGTGAATTGAAGAAGTTTGATTCACACCGTCTTTTTCAGGATAATGTGTCTGTCACTGTACATGCATCTGTTCAATACCGATACGGTGCCTTGGAAGGCTGTTATAAAGAGAAAGCAAAGAATGCTTTCTATAATATCACCAGTGCCAAGACAAAAATCCGAGTCCGTATTGTGGAAGGTATGTTTGGTTTCACATTTGAAAATACAACATTGTAGGTGATGTAGGCAAGTTCAAACTTGGATAGTTCAATCTCATCACTTCATTGAATCGATTGTATCTCTTCAGGTATCGGGGAAATAGTGCCAAAACGTGACCTGGAAGATGCTATTGAAAAGAAGAACGAAATTTCAAGTGAAGTTGAAAAAGAGCTCAGACTGGTAATATATATGTTACTTAAATCAGTAGTGGTACTCAGGAAACTCTGCGAATTAATGGTCTTCTTCAACTTCCTTCTTAAAATTTTTCCTTTCGCAGCACATGAATGACGACGGGTATGAAATTCACTCACTTATCATTGATATAGAACCTGATGTGAAAGTGAAGAGAGAAATGGATGATGAGTATGCAGGTAACAAGCATAACTCACCAGTCTGAACTTTTATACTCTTTGACATGTGTGTTTATGCATCTGCATTTTCAACATATAGCAGCAGTTCCT